AAAATTGAAAACTGGCCAAACCAATTTCTAAGAAATATGATACAGGAACTCAAGTGGAATTCCAAAATATTCATCTTAAAGATATGAGAAATTGAGTAATTGTTCTGATTTGGCATTCAATTAAATTCTACAGTCCTTAATGCTGTGAATGAGGGTTAAAATGAGGAGGTAGACAGTGATATACGTGACTGGGCGTGGCTCGATTTTTAGCGTGCCGAACTGTGAATCCGAGAATTCATGCTCATTTTCCGTTGTCAGAATCAAAAGTAAAACAGTTTTCTTTGTTTTTGAAAAAATAAAAGTAATCTCAGGATTATTTTCAAAAAACTCAAAACTTTTGTAAATGTTACTAAATTACTATAAAATACTAGAATTCAATCTTGGGACGATAACAAAATGTAATACAGTATCTTCTTTCTTACCAAAAGTTAAATCGTCCTTTAAAGACAACATTAAAAAGAGGAAAATAATTCACTTCAGTTTTACATAATATTTAATTCATAATTTAAAGAAACTCTCAAAAATGTAAAGTTTTTTTTTTGTAGTTTTACAAGAAGAATAGTGAGAAATCTAATGACAATTTGAAAAATATAAGACAAATGCGTTTAGCTTCACGAAATATAAAAGTTTTGTTTCGAATTTCGTAAAGCTACACGAGGGCTATCTGCGCTAGCCGTCCCTAATTTAGCAGTGAAAGACTAGAGGGAAGGCAGTTATTCATCACCACCCACCGCCAACTCTTGGGCTACTCTTTTATCAACGAATAGTGGGATTAACCGTCACTTTATAACGCGCCCACGGCTGAAAGGGCGAGCATGTTTGATGGGATAGGGATTCGAACCCGAGACCCGCAGATTGCGAGTCGAGCGACCTAACCACCTTTATATTTTAACCCTTCAACAATTTTATCTAAGCCTTTTTTTTCTATATAACACAGTTTTAAGCTGCCTGATGAATGGCTTCTGCCAGAAACATTCCAAATATTAATAAAGATTTTGTTATAGACGTGTGTTTCACCAATTTCAAACACGTTTTTCATTATTTTGTTATGACAACTGCTGACAGTGGATAGTTTTCGTTTAGAGTATCAGCATTGTTACGACAGAGAGAAACAACAGATATTTTTTGTTCAATGTAACATGGTTAGAGCAAAACGTATGATTTCGTCACTTCGAAAAATAATTAATAGTAGTTAATTTGAAAAGTTTTAGGTGTTTATTTAAAACTCATAACATACGAGTTGCTTATTAGTCATGTAATAATTTGTAAGTGACTGTAATACTGATGTATGTGAAATTGCAATAATTTACGAGTGCTGTAATATTGATGTATGTGAAATTGCAATAATTTACAAGTGACTGTAATACTGATGTATGTGAAATTGCAATAATTTGTAAGTGACTATACTATTGATGTATGCGAAATGGAAATAATTTGTAAGTAACTATAATATTGATGTATGCGAAATGGAAATAATTTGTTAGTAATTATAATATTGATGTATGTGAAATGAAAATAATTTGTAAATGACTAATATTGATGTATGTGAAATTGCAATAATTTGTAAGTAACTATAATATTGATGTATGTGAAATTGCAATAATTTGTAAGTAACTATAATATTGATGTATGTGAAATGGAAATCATTTGCAAGTAACTATAATATTGATGTATGCGAAATTGAAATAATTTGTAAGTGACTGTAATATTGATGTATGTGAAATTGCAATAATTTGTAAGTAACTATAATATTGATATATGCGAAATGGAAATAATTTGTAAATGACTAATATTGATGTATGTGAAATTGCAATAATTTGTAAGTAACTATAATATTGATGTATGCGAAATGGAAATAATTTGTAAATGACTAATATTGATGTATGTGAAATTGCAATGATTTGTAAGTGACTGTAATATTGATGTATGTGAAATTGGAATGATTTGTAAGTGACTGTAATATTGATGTATGTGAAATTGCAATAATTTGTAAATGACTGTAATATTAATGTATGTGAAATTGCAATGATTTGTAAGTGACTGTAATATTGATGTATGTGAAATGCTTTTTCAAAAAGCGGCAAGATTGATTTCTAATTATTTTACTAGACATATTTCAAACAAGAGTATAAAAGAAAGCCTTCAAGCGAATATAATCCAATGTCTGTGATAAAATCTATTTCATAACTTTTAATAAGTTAAAGAAAAGGAACTAACGGAGTCCTCATTGATTATTTTCTGACTGATTTAATATTTCTGGATAACTCAATGATTAGTTTCATGGATATTCTGGCTTGCTTGGTTAATGTCTATAATAGGAACTTAAATGTAAGAATATCCTTTTGGAGAAAGGTGATAAATAAATAACACTTTTGTTTTCCCTTACCAAATTTAATTTTGCTTAAACCACGTAGACAGTGATACCATCTTGACTTCAGATAATAGTCGAATTTTCATAAAAGCCTTATTAGCAGGCTAAAACTGCAGAGCGTAGGAAGATTTATCAGAAAGTGAATAGTATTTCCTTGTAAACAAATGTCATAAATTAACCTTTCCCTTCAAAAGGGCAATTTTTCTCTGAAAGGGGGCTCTTATGTTTCTCTTTTTTTACGGTCATTTCGATTCATTATTGGAATTAATTTAGTGTGCATTTCGAAAACAGAATATGTACTCGTGCTTGACATACATAAAACAATGAACTCTACGGGGTTTTGTGTTGTGAGTAAATGGTTTACGACTTGAAAGTACACATTCTACACGCTCGTATAGGTAATGCTTGTGTTTATTTAGCATTATAGCAACTAGTCGAGTGTTTTGAAGTTTATTGTACAAATGTTTACATTAATTCCTGAAACTTGCAAAGTCTTTAGCAAATAAAGATTAACGACTGTGTAAACTACAAAACAGGGGAGGTCAAACGTATTTAACAATGGGATGAAGCCTTCCGTTTAAAAATAACTAGTAGGTTTATGTAGAATAGAATAAAATAGTCCAGGGTTCACGATCCGTTGTCGCAAAATTACGCTCAGCACTTTAGGATCTAGTTGAAGTGTAAGAGTAATGGTTAAATCCCTCTATTCAATTAAAGTAGCTTAAGAATTGGCGGTGATTACTACCTTTCTTTTTTGCCTCTCAGTCTTGTGATTTCAGGCTACCTAGAACTATTTTTAATGGTCTAAATCTTGCATACTCTTTCAAAAACATATAACAATGCATAGCAATTAATATTCAAGCTAAAAGTACACCAGATATCAACGCAAGACATTGATAAATAGTTGAAAGGTTTGTTTGTTTGTAAACTAATAAAAGACACACATTAGGTAAACACCACATTTATTAAAACGTCTCTAGCATATGCCCTTCGTCAGGCCTCGTAAGGAAACGTTTAAATAAATTACGTTTTTGATCTGACGAGTGTATTCTATAAGTTTCAAAAACTGTAAGAACCATAATACACGATTCATTATTATTTCGTTCTCTGGATATTTTTTAAGCTTTCTTGGGAAAGACCATAATGACCAATAAAAGAAATGCATCCGGTTTGATAAAAATTTCTTAACTTCATTATGAAAGATAATAATGACCAATAAAAACGTCTTTGCATTGGTAATATTTCTGATGTGAAAGGCTATAATGACCGATAAAAAAAAAGTTTTCGTTTTAAAAAGTTTCTTGGAACTTTTGTAAAAGGCCATAAACCTGTTAAAAGAATGACTTTGTTTTGTTAAACTTGTTAAAAAACAACCTTGGCTCTATATTTAAATTTTCATGTTTACAGATCATTGCTTACTTCCTGCATAGAATGACTGAAGTTTATAATTTTCGATGACAATATCAAGTTATTTGTAATAGTATTATCATAACCCATCAAAGTTTAGGATTCAAAATTAAAGAACACTGTAAAGCAAAGTTTTCAAATCTTTTTAGTGCCCGACTTACCAAAGTTGGAAAGAAAGATTAAACGGTAACGCTATCATACACACAACAATTTTTTTTACTTTGTACTAATATAACTAACTGTTCATAATCAGAAGAACTTGCCTTACTTTAAAGATATAATTTTTATTACGTTACATATGATGTATTGATACACACAACCAGTTTTATTACGTTACATATGATGTATTGATACACACAACCAGTTTTATTACGTTACA